AAACAAATATCACTGAAACACTTGCTTATTTTTACGGCAAATTATGCTGTGAGCACGTGCTCACCATGCACATGGTGCACATGAATCTATATTCATAATTTTTATACTGTATATCCATAATTTTTATACTGTAGATCCATAAATTTTTAGACTCACGGTGAGCTAAAATTATAAATCTAAAGTATAAATTTTAGTTCACCGAAAGTCTCGAAATTATGGATATACAGTATAGAAATTATGGATATAGATTCGTGGTTAGAAATTATGAATCTAAAGTATAAATTTTAGCTCATCAAAAGTATATAAATTATGGATCTACAATATAAAAATTATGAATCTACAGTATAGAAATTATGGATATAGATTTGTGCACACCATGCAAGGTGAACACGTGCTCACAACATAACGATTGTATTTTTACACCCCACCTTAATGATGAGGTATTTTTTGAAGGGGAGGGAAGTAAGACATTCTTAAAATGCAAAAAATATATAAATTAAGAATAATGCTAAATTCCCCACTTAATTTTCACCTTCTTACATGACCATATTTGAGATAAGAATTTTATTGTCACATTAGGAAATGATTATTAAAAAATAAAATCAAAAGGAAAAAATAGCATTCTTTCACAAATTAACTATTGTACGAATTGCTAGAATTAGGAAACTGATACAAATAGAAAGGATGAGAACTGATTGTATTATATTTTCTGAACTTGATTACAATGAGATCAGATGATGTGAATATATACAATAGAGAGTCACAGTGTGATAAGGATAAGACGTAGAGAGTCACAGTGTGACAAGGATAAAAAGTTCTAAACAGGCTCAGATACATAGAGTCCTAATGCTCCCCCTCAAGCACAGTGTATACTAGTAACCTGTAGCTTGTCCCTTAGGGAAGAAAATCTAGGTCCAGGCAGAGCTTTGGTGAAGATAACAGCAAGTTGATCCTTTGTGGAGATGAAGTTGACTTGAATATCACCCGAAGCTACTCGATCACGAACAAAATGATAATCAATCTCCACATGCTTGGTGCGCGATGAAAGATTGGGTTGGCACTCATATATGTAGTTCCTAAATTATCACACCATAATTTTGGAATGGAAATACCCGGAATCTGTATCTCACGCAGTAATGACATAATCCATAGAACTTCAGCACAAACATCTGCAAGAGCTTTGTATTCAGCCTAAGTGGATGACCTAGCAACAGTTCTCTGTTTCTTGCAAACCCAGGATATAAGATTACTCCCCAAGAAAACAGCAAAACCACTCGTGGATTTTCGATCCTCAGGACAACCAGCCCAATCAGAATCAGAGAAGGCATGAATGTCTCTAGATGAGCATCGTCGTATGCGCAAACCATGATCAACTGTTCCCTTAACATACCTGAGTACCCGTTTGAGCTGCTCCCAGTGTGACATGGTGGGAGCATGCATATGTTGGCATAACTAATTAACTGCAAAGGATAGGTCAGGTCGTGTAACAGTGAGATATTGCAGTGCTCCAACTAGACTCCTGTACTGTGTGGGGTCATCATATAGATCTGAATTGAAGGGGACAGTTTTCAAGATAGAGATAGGTGTAGAAAGGGGTTTGCATTCAGACATTCCAGCCCGTTTTAAAATATCATTCATATACCGTTGTTGAGATAAAATAATCCCATTGTCACTCTTAACTGTTTCAATACCTAGAAAGAAATTTGGTTCACCAAGATCTCTGATTTTGAATGTAGCAGACAGTTTAGACAAGAGTTGAGACATAATACCCTGATCACTTAACATTACAAGAATGTCATCCACGTACACCAATATATAAACCAAAGCAGAGTCTTTAGAGTAATAGGACAGAGAGACATCTGTCTTGGATGCTTGAAAGTCAACTGATAGTAAGAACGTATGTTGTCGATTAAACCAGGCTCTGGGAGCTTGTTTTAACCCATACAGAGATCTTTTTAACAAACAAACATGATTCGGGAAGTTAGCATCAATATAACCAGGGGGTTGCTTCATATAAATTGTTTCAGCCAGATTACCATTCAAAAAAGCATTATGAACATCTAGCTGTTTGATAGACCACCCAGATGATAAAGCTAGAGATAGAAGGAGTCTTACAGTCGTAGGCTTTACCGCTGGACTAAATGTGTCAAAGAAGTCCTGGCCTGGAACCTGATTAAAACCTTTCGCAACCAGTCTGACTTTATGCCTTTCAATAGCACCATCAGCCTTTCTCTTCGTACGAAACACCCATTTACAGCCAATAATATTTATACCTGCAGTGGGTGGAACTAGAGACCATGTGTGGTTATGCAGAAGAGCATTGAATTCTTGGTCCATGGCTTCACGCCACTCAGGATATTTGACAGCTTGAGAGTGACATGTGGATTCCGTGGGATGCACCTGAGCTGCTAGAGCAAAAAGAAGAGCATCTGCGTTGCTGCGAGTGGCCATAGAGTGAGTACGGACATTGGGCCTGGTGGACCGCCCACGTGGACGGCCTCGCTGGCGAGCAACGGGCTCCACCGGATCACCCGACGAGGCAGCCTGTCCGGGATCCATGGCTGGTTCGAATGAAGCTGGTAGCGGCGGTTCTGGCGGCTCATCATTGGACACGGCAGGAATAGGTGTGCTATGACTAAGAACAGATTCCGCCCAAGGTCCAGAAAACGGAGTAGATAGATCCTGCAAAGAAGTTTTAGTAGCAAAGGCTTCTTCATCAAATCTGACATGCCTGCATGTGTAAATCTTATTAGTATGTAAGTCCATGCATCTGTACCCCCTAAAGGACTCAGGATAACCTAGGAAGACACATGGAGAAGACATGTATGACATCTTATGACGATTATATGGTCGAAGATGAGGGTAGCATAAACACCCAAAGGCACGAAGAAAAAGATAGGAAGGAGGGGATTTATGTAACAGGAGATGAGGACTGGAGTTATTTAATACATAAGATGGCATTCTGTTAATTAAATAGACAGCAGTCTCAAAGGCAAAATCCCAAAATTTCAAAGGAACAGAGGCATGTGTTAGAAGAGCCAGACCAGTTTCAACAATGTGATGATGTTTTCGTTCAACATGACATTCTGTTCATGTGTATAGGCACAGGATTGTCTATGTTGAATTCCTAATTGAACAAACGAAGAATGCAACTTTTTGTACTCAGCACCTAAATCAGACTGAATGGCCTTTATTTTGCAATTAAAGGACCATTCAACAAGAGTACGAAATTTATCAAAGATGACATAAAGATCAGACTTTAATTTCATAGGGAAGAACCATGTATAACGGGAATAGTCATCCACAAAGATCACAAAATAACGGAAGCCAGAAGTAGATAAAGTGGGTGCAGGACCCCAAATGTCTGTGTAAATAAGATCTAGGACTTGAGAACTAGAGGAAGCAACACGAGGGAGGGGAAAACGGGCAGATTTGCCTAATTGACACACATTGCATAAAGAATTATGACAACGAATATTATCACGAGACCCACTAACCAAACAAGAACGAAGTATATGGCTAAGAACACGGTTATGAGGATGACCCAGACGATTGTGCCAAGTGGAAGCCGATGCACGAGCGGAAAGAAACGCTGACGGAGACGAACTAGGTAATAAAAGTGTGTATAGTCCCCCCGAACTATTGCCTCGAAGAAGTATTTCCTTGGTATTGATATCCTTCACAACAAAAAGGAGGGGTGAAACTCAAAAAAAAACTTTATTATCGGATGCAAACTTCTGAACAGATAATAAAGAATTAGACAAACATGGAACGTGAAGTATATCAGACAATGTAAATGATCTAGAAGGGGTATTAAAAGAGGCATGGCCAACATGACTAATAGATAAACCCATACTGTCACCGACACGTAAAGTGTCATTACTAGTGTACTTCTCCGATGTAGAAAGGGCAGCGATGTTTGGAGTTGCATGATTTGTGGCTCCAGTGTCTGGAACCCAAGTATGAGAATTTGACGAGGTTTTAGCAACTAAACCATTCTGAAACACCAAATTAGCCTGAGAACCCGGAGCCCCTGAATATCGCCGAAAATAGTTGACTCCCGTGTGACCGAAACTTTTACAAATTTGACACGGATCATTATAGCACCAAAAACAATTGGTTCCCGTGTGACCAAAACGTTTACAAATTTGACATGGATCATCATAGCCCCAAAAACAATTGACTCCCGTGTGACCAAAACGTTTACAAATTTGACACGGATCATTGAAGCCACGTTGCTGACCTCCATGGTAATTAAGGTTGCCACCGCAGCGCTGCATCTTCTTGATTTTATGAATCACAAAACCCTAGCTAACTGATACCAGATGAGAACTGATTGTATTATATTTTCTGAACTTGATTACAATGAGATCAGATGATGTGAATATATACAATAGAGAGTCACAATGTGATAAGGATAAGACGTAGAGAGTCACAGTGTGATAAGGAAAAGAAGTTCTAAACAGACTCAGATACATAGAGTCCTAATAGAAAGAACTAATATTCCTTCCCCACCCTCTCAAATTTTTGTCCCCTTTATTCTCGTTCGGGAGTCCGAGCTCACTTGAAATAGTGCCTCTTTTTTTTTTTTTTTTTTTTTGCTCAGATCATGAGGTGTCTTGAACATTCTCTAATATAGGAAGTGCATTTAAGTCCATACCATACTCAGACTAATCTCCATACAATATCCATCTTCCAAACACCAATTGTTATGCCATGGACTCGGGTTCAAAACGGCGTCGCCGTCTGAATTTATAAAAAAAAATTAAAAAAATTGTTTATTTCCTTACCACTTGTCTTCAGAATTCGTTTATCTATATTTACAATTTTAAAACTCTATGTTCACAATTTTAGATCTCAATATACAAAATTACATAACTCAATATTCACAATTGCAGAACTCTATATTCACAATTTCATAACTCTATATTCACAATTTCATAAGTCTATATTCACAATTAAAGAACTCTATATTCACAATTACAAAACTCTATATTCAACAGTATAACACAATTTTTGAACTCTATATTCAAAAAAAAAAATCATTGACTAAGGAAAACGGGTGCCACTAACAACACCGGTATTCCATACGCGTGTTTTGGATCTGCAAGGTGGGCCCGGATCCACAACATAATTTGCCTCCAAACACCTTAGCCAACATAGAATCTCATTGTGCCAATGCATAAATTCATCTGGGAAACTACTAAGGCCTGCATCAAGGAAACCATGCAAGGTGTGACTAGAGAAGGCAAATTATACCATGTACCAGGGTTTACCTTGGATTATGAACCCTGATCTAAAAATAACTTTCAGATTTTGTATCTACAGTTGACACATTCTGTACCTACAGTTAACCGTTTCTGTACCTCTAAATAAATTGAAGGCACATCACATGGTAATTACAGACATATGACATGATAACTACAAACACATAAACTATTAACTGCAAGTATAAAATATGTTAATTACAGACACATAACATGTTAACTAACATCTTATGTGTTTACACTTAAGATATTTTGTACCAGTAGTTAACAATTTATGTTTCAGTAATTGTCATGTACTCATGTTATGTGCCTTTGTTTACAGGTACATAAATTGTTAATTGCAAGTACAAAATGTGTTAACTGCAGACATAATTCTTGGACCAGAATTCACAATGCAATATGAATGTTGATCCATAGTATAACAATTGATTATTAAGAGTGAATGAGTGATGTACAATATCTTTAGGTATTTACAGCTAGGTTGTACAAAAGATTTTGTCCATACCACAGATTGAAGAAAAGGAGAAAGGGAAAATACCTTAAAGAGCTTTCTGAGAAATCAGGCCTGCCTTTCTATGTGAACACCTCTTAACTCAATATCTTCTAGGGAATGAAGATTTTCCAAACCCTGAATATCCTTCAACTTTCTGCAATTCCTGAGGTCCAACTGTCTCAACTTTGCTAAATTTGACAAGTTTGGTAGTTTCTCCATAGACTTGCAATTGCTGGCCCAAAGTTGTCCAAGACTGGGAGGAAGTTGAGGGAGCATCTCTAGGTTCTTGCAATCAGCCAACATGATTTTTTCAAGCCTTGACAAATGAGAAATGTTGGCGGGCAGACCACGAATATTGCTTTCGTCAAGATAAAGATGTTTCAGTGAGGCTAAACTTGTAACCGATGACGGGAGATAGTGAAAGGTAGTGCTTTCTAACACGAGGGACACAAGAGATATCAACTTCCCCATCTCCTCGGGCAATTCTTCTAGCTTTAGGCAGTTGGACACATCGAGTTCTTGAAGTGACCTCAATTGGCAAAGGCTATTCGGGAGTTTCTTCAGCTTTACACAATCTGTAAAATCTAAACGAACTAGTCTCCCCAAGCCTCCAATCGACGAGTCCACCTTCATCAAACTCGAGCAAAAAGCAAACGAGAGACTCTCAAGATTTTGTACGCCACCAAAGTCTGGAGTCCTCGTGAGACGTTTGGAAAAGCTGAGATCCAGAGACTTGAGACCTTGGAAATACTATTTGAATCAATTCAATGAGGCCGTACAAGGCAAAGGCAAAGGAAAAGGAAAACAAAACGATGAATTATAAGTTCTCGATCAACTAAACTCTTTTGGAATAGCAAATTAATGGCTAGTGAAATTTACCTTTAGAGGAGCTACGAATTTTTTTAAGTTACTCGCCAGCAATTCCAGATGTACAAGCTTTTTAAGATGAAAATTGGATGGCATATATTTCAAAGGGCAGTGATTCCACAGAAAACATTTGAGCTCCTTGAAAAGATTTTTGAAGTTTCCATGTAGACGGACATGGTCGATTTGGAGCAATCTTAAATTCTCCATATTCTTAAAGGCTCTTGTATCATAACTCATATTTTCCATAGGAGAGTTTGCCACAATTACCTCAACCATTGGTGTACCCTACACATATATAAAAGATACATCAGATAAAGAAAAGAATATAATTGTGTGATAAATAAGTGGTTATTTTCACTAAACCGAACAACAAATTAAGTAGTGTATAGATCTCCATGGAGGAATCTAAATCAAATGTGGTCATTAATCAAACATTAGATATTTCAACAAGTATTTTTTTTTTTTTTAAATCCAAGTAAATCAGATAGTATTACTGAAGCACGTGATCAGTGATAATCAACACATAATTACAATTTAACAATTGGAAATGAGGACTTGTCAGCAACAATAACTAAGGGTGTGTTTGGAAACCCGAAAAATGAAAGTTCTTGGAAGAGCCAGGAAAATCGAAGTCAACGGAAATCATTTTCCAGTCAAAGGGAAAACAGTGCTGTTTTTGGGAAAAATGACTTCCGCCAAAATTTGGTGAAAGTCATTTTTGACATACCACAGCTACATCGACTAGCACAGCTTTGGTCCGGTTCTGACGTGCTCTGGTTTCTGGTGGAGTGCGGAAACCAGAGGTTTTTTTTTTTAATAAATAGCATTATTTTAAATATTATTATAAATATTTTTATATTTTAAATAAAACAATTAAAATGTTTAATTATACAATTCTACTCATTTTCCAGAAAATAAACCAAATACATCCAGACAGTTTTCCACAATATAACCAAACACTAAAAAGGAAAATGTTTTCTGGAAAATGACTCATTTTCCTGACTCATTTTCCAGAAGTCATTTTCCTGATTTCCAAACACACCCTAGATGTAATTGATGTCTCAAGAGATGTACTATTAAAAATGGATGTAGTTTAGAATGGTATAACTTAGCATAAGTACTTAACTAGCTCTAGGAGTACTTACTGTTACATGCAAGTTTCCAAATTTGTTTCACAATTTGTAATCTTCAATTAAGAATGATAAGTTGTCACCATGTTTTTGAATTTAATGTGATTTCGATAATTGATGACTTTAAATGTAAAGGATCGGAAAAGCAACACAGACAACGCCAAGATGTAAAGAACCCCTTCATAGTGACTTGGAAGAGATTAAATAATAAGATAAGTTGACAATTGACAAACATAGAAAGATTTGATAAATTTATGCATCATAAGAACAAGAAAAATAAAAGAAATTCATTATTACCTTCTGTCCTATAAGCACATTGTGGATATCACGGGAACACCACAATCGACTACGTTCACCTGGGTTGTTGGGCGACTCCAAACGAACAACTTCTCTTCCCATTTCTCGAATTAAACTATGCATACTAATTTGAGAATCATAATAGTTTATCAAGCACTTATCAACCAAGCGTCGAATTTCGATGGTTGCAAAATACCCCATGGCCTCAACAATTTGAATAACTGTATCTTTGAAAATGGCATGGGGGAAACAAACAAGATCAAGAAAAAGAGCTTTTGTACGATCATCTGGAAGCCCATCAAAGCTGATTTTAAGTTTATTTTGAATGTCATTACGAGGTATTCTCTTCAATTTCTCAAAAGTAATAATCCATTCTTCCTTCAATTTATCAGACAAATATGCCCCTATCACTTCAAGAGCTAAGGGTAGTCCCCCACAGTAAGTAACGATGCCACGTGAAAGCCCGATAAATTCTTCTTTTGGTAATGCTAGCCCTCTAAATGCATGTAGGCTAAAGAGCTGCAGAGACTCCTTACTATTCAATTCCTTGGCTTCATAATGTTCATCTTTTTTTAAAATTTTCAGCACATCTGCAACTCTCGTTGTTAAAATAAGTCTACTTCCTGCACCGAACCAATCTCGTTCACCACACAACGCATTAAATTGATCGAGATGCTCCAAATTATCAAGAACAATGAGACATTTTTTTGCTTGAAGCCACAGTTTGATCAACATGATCCCTTCAGCTTCACTGCCAACTTTAATCTCCTTTCTTAGAAGATTCCTAAGAAGCTCTTCTTGTAAGACTTTTATCCCATAGTTTTTTTGCTCTAAAATGTCTGATCTAATCTCAATAAAGCAACTTCTCTCAAAGCATCCAAAAAGCTTGTTATATACAGCTTTGGCAAGAGTTGTTTTTCCAATCCCTCCCATACCATAGATTCCAATCATGCGAACATCATTCTCTGGTTCTCCACACATGAACTGGACCACGTGCTCAACCCGGGATTCAAGTCCTACTACATGCTTGGGAACACACATCGGCACCCGGCTTACTACCAATTGCACCTCTTTGATGATTGCATCAATGAACTTTGATTCATATCTTCCGTGTTTAGAGAGAGAATGAGAGCAAGAGTTTAGAAAACTAAATAGCGTACAGTTAATACCAAATGAATATGTATTTCAATTCAAACAAACATGAAAAACTGTATAATGCATACTCATTTCTGTTGGTCTTCATGTTTGTTTGTAAACTCAAATGAGCATTCAGTGCAATGTATATGATCATGAATATACTAATTTTGGTCCCACGAGTATTAACAAAATAACAGTTCTGGGCTGCATGTTTAATTCCTATCAATTTTCATTCACGACTATTCTTTTAATGTCAAAATTCATCACGTCGGTCACTCCTCTCCGTTTAGGACACGTCGGAATATGAAATTATTAAGAGTATTTTCGTCCTTTCATAATTAAGATCTCAATTCGAACATGAATAAAAAGATTTAAGTCCTAAGATCCCAATTCACTATTATCATCCTCATCCTTCTTCTCCTTCTTATTCCTTAAAGAATGGGGAAAAGAACGACGAATTGAAACTTAGGGCTTAAATCCCTTTATTCATGTACGAATTGGAATCTTAAATATGAAAGGACGAAAATACCCTTAAGGCCTTAATATTTTCATATTCCGATGATACAACCCTAAGGTTGTATGGATTTTTCTTCTTCGAGTCAAGAGCTAAACTCCAGAAAAGGGGAGAAGAGAAATGGAGATGCGAGAAGAGAAATTGACATTATATTCTTCCGGGTATTCTAAGTACATATGTAACTAATAACTATATATATTCAGGATCATAGAAATTATCCACTATTAAATGTCTAGTGCTTATCCCACAATAACATAAGAATAATTGCAGCAACATCATAGGTGTATTATTTGGCATGTCCTAAACGGAAGGGTGATCAGCGTGGAGTGATGAGTTTTGACATTAAAAAATAGTCGTAGATAAAAGTTGGTAAGAATTAAACACGGATCAAAACTGTCATTTTGTTAGAACCAAAATTAATATTTGCTCAATTATTAAAATCAATTATATCCACACTTTACACTCAATAATTACAAATGAAATTAGCTATAATCTATTAAAATAATCTTGTGATCTAGTCTCACCAAGTTGCTCTCTCATATTGGGAAGTTGGAGGTTATGGGTTCGAGCTTTAGAGCGTTAGTGGAAGCGATATTGACTCTTTGTGTGTGCTTCAGTATTTTGAGAAAGTAGTTATGAATAGAGTAAATAGTACTAAAAAAAATTAAAAGAAAATTACCCAATAGGCGCATAATTGATCACCAAAGATGAAATAATCGAAAGAGAATGATAGGGGCAATACCCGTCGGCGACGTCTCCCAAATCCCATCCCGACAAATTTCCAACTTTAGTGAGAGCATCTCTCCAATTCCGAACCTTATCGCTTGCCCCAAAACGCTGTTCGTGTGTAGCAAAGGCCACGCCGTAGTCGCCACTTTGCCGGCGAACTTGGGAAGGCTCAACGTCGTAAAAAACCGGAAAAACCATCAGTTTTCCCTTCTCCTTGCACTCGACGATTTGAACAAGTTGGTCAAGGCACACCCCAGAGGAGGCATAGTCATTGGAGAGAACTATCACAGAGATTCTCGAGCTTTCAATCGCTCCCTTGAGCTCAGGCGAAAGAAATCCGCCCTCTCGGAGCTCATCCTCGTTGTCCCTGAATGTGTTTAGCCCGGATTCACATAGCGCAAGATGGAGGTGATCGGTGAAGGTTTTGCTAGTGCCCTCGCCTCTAGAGCTCAAGAACACATCGAAATCCCATGTGAAAGATTCAAGATTGAATGTTTGGGTGGCCATAGATAGAGCGAAGAACTGAGCAAAACGAGTGATGTAAGAGTTGAACAGTGAGCCATTGTTGTGAAGCAAATCGGTAAAGCAATTAAAAAGAATAGATGATGACTGAGACTGACGCTACCAGAAGAGGACCGGAGTCTAACTAAAAAAAATAATTAAGAAAAAGGGAAAGAGAAAAGGCCATGGAGCCAGAATGCTGAAACATGGACCGGTGCGGTGTGCTTGCCGCGTTCAAGACTACAGGCCCAAATCTAAAATTTGGGCAAATTGTATCATCGACCAAAATCTATTTTAGCTGGTGTATCTTTATTCGGAGCGTTATGCCATGGAACCGTGTTCACCATTCATGATGAACACAGTTCCAACAGTGTTAGTATATCGTTATTTTTTTTTTTAATTAATTGCGTGACTTTTCTTCTTTTATTTTCACATTTTGCGGTTTCACTTTAATTTGAGGTGAACAATGATTTCGGACATTCATAAATTATGAATTCATGTCTGCACATTCACTTTGGAACCATGCCTACACATTCCCGTCCGAAATCACGGACATTCATAAATTATGAATCCATGCCTGCACATTCACTTTGGAACCATGCCTACACATTCACTTTGGAACCATGAGATTATGAATTTTCTGTTATAAAATTATGAATTTTCTGTTATGAGATTGTGAATTTTCTGTTATGAGATTATGAATTTTCTGTTATGCGATTATGAATTTTATGAAATTCATAATCTCATAACATAAAATTCATAATTTGATCAACGCGCGCCGTTAACTCCACATCCGCGATTTTTTTTTTTTTTTTTTTTTTTTTTTTTTTGCCTAAAAACGACGTCGTTTGGCCTTGTGTTCACCATTCACGGTGAACACCAGGGCATAATTTGCCTCTTTATTCAAAATGACATCATTTTATTCTTAGTGTCAACTAGTGCTTAGGAGATATTTGCCTCAAGTAATTTTAGATTTCTTAGATAATATGAGCATGGTAATGATATATTACCCTGTTTAGTTCAAATTATGATATTAAATGATGAGACGATAATATTTTAAGATAATCTAATTATCTCCATTTTCTTTAAGTAATCTAAGGTTACCTTGAAATATTTTAAGTTTGTCTTTGTTAACTAATCAATTATATTATAATAATAATTGTTGGGATACCCAGTATGGGTACCAAGTCGGACTTAGCACTCGGTACTCAGCACTTGGATCATGACCAGCTAGTCTTGGCAACCGGTCATCCCTGGCAACCAGTCATTCTTAGAGGGTAGTCATCCCCAGTAACTAGTCATCCCTGGCGGGCGGTCATCCTCGATACCTAGTTATCCTTGGTGGGCGGTCATCCCAGATAACTAGTCATCCTTGGCGGGCGGTCATCCCCAGTAACTAGTCATCCTTGGCGGGCAGTCATTCCCGAGAACCAGTCATTCCTGGTAACCAGTCATCCCTGGTGCCCAGTCATCCTTAGTGACGAGTCATCCCTGGTGGCCGGTCATCCTTAGTGGCCAGTCATCCTTGGCGGTGGAAGAAATCATTATATAACAATCTCGAGATTTGGAAACACAACCCTCAGAAATTACCTTCCTAAATATTATTTACAGCCTTATAGCACATCTCATTACCTAAATATCGACGGATTCCCTAAAGTCATTAATATTCTCTAAATTCATCTACTTTCCACTATATATCTCACTCTATCATAAATACCCAATTACCATACCACATTACCATATATCTTGTATTTATTGTACTATAAATACAAGAAGAGAGTTCAATGAAGGGGGGATCTTGACCTAATCCTAATCATCTTTACCCTAGCCGATCTTCATCTCTCCACGCCACCTACATCTCTCTACATTTATTACATCTCTTTACTTCTCTCTACGAGAACATAAATTGTATATGTATGGCTACTTACAAAATATAGTGGAAATAGTGGAATTTGGCTTGGCACCGTCCAAAAAGGCATGTGGTTTTTACCTTTCGATTTTCACGTTAAAAATATTGTGTCTCCTTTACTTTTCCCCTTCATTATTCATTTATTACTTGTTTTTCGGTGATGTTGGACCACCGTGTGGTTACCTTCAAAAATCCTAAAACCAACATTGGCGCCGTCTGTGGAGATCGATACAAAAGATCCCGTGATTCCTACTCCATCAACATCGTAGCAGACTTTGAGGATGGTTCGAGACGTATGGTGCTCAGGAGCTTGTAGGCAGTCTGTCTTGCCCGGCCCACTGAAGAACATGGTGGATTTTTGTAGATGATTTAAGATGTGTGGCGCTCAGGGGCTCGTAGGCAATCTGCCTCGCCCACTGAGGGACTTGGCACTACAATTGCGTCTCCCATGGTCGAGTTTGGCTCCCACGGTCGAGACAACGCGTGGCGAAAGATGGAAGATCTCAAAGAAGCGTGCATGAATTGTTGATACCAATTTCTGTAAGTAGGCATAAGTTGCATGTAATTTTGTACGTGGTTAATGCATATACGTGGGAGACGTACGCTGGTTATCTTCACCAAGGTATGCTTTGATTCCCAAATATTAATTACAACATCCAGTACATGCGATTAAGGGGAAAATGGAATTTTGTACACAATATACAAAATTGCCATATTTCTACACATATTACATATGGAAGGTGCTCACTTACCTCCTCCTCCACGTGGAAATCAATTATGGAATGCAAATTGTACACTTGGCTGCATTATATATACATGGAATCTTTCCTTTCTTACTGCTTGCAAGTTGGGAACAAAATGGGAGAAAGCACGGGAAATATGGAAAGCAGACAATTTATATGTGGCAGCCTAGGAAGACAAATCTAATGACTATCAGTGGAGTACACCAGTACATGTGAACTTATATTGGAGCACGCATGAGCATGGAAATTTTGATACATAGCAGCATGAGGTTATCACCTCCCATCACGATTAGTGGTGGCATGCAAATCTTGAATACAGTCAGCACGTGGCAAAACTGAGAAAAGAATATGAAAATCTCTCCAAGGCCCAGACTGTTCAAACATTAGCATGTGGCACCATGACAATTTCCACAAGAAGATACAATGGTTTAACATGACAAGGCAGAAGTGAAGAATGGATGGCGACATAAAATCCTGAGCTCCAGCCGGACATGCGTTTGTCTGGTCAGTACTGTGGCATTCACGCAATCAGTCATTCCAAGTGCTTGGCCGGTGGAATATATATACAAATGGAGTGAAACATGGGCAGTCGCTCCTCCATCCTATAATGGAGTGAAGCATTGCCAGTCGCTCCTCCCCCTCCTACAATGGAGTGAAGCATTGGCAGTCGCTCCTCTATCCAACAAGAAAATAGAGAGAAGCACTGGCAATCGCTGAGTCATAGCTTGGTTTGCCGACAAAGACAAACACATGGACAAGAATATTGAGAAAAAAAAAGTTGGGATAAGAATACAAAAGTTGTCACCTTTTCTTTAAAGTTGTCACTTTTGCAGGCGTATTACGTATGTATTCTTGGCGTATGTTCTCTCATGTATATCAATATTGTTAATTATATGCGTATGTATTCTTGGTGTATGTACTGTTATGTATATCAATATTGTTAATTCAATATAATTTAATTTAATATTATAAATATAATTGACATATCTGTAACGTATAAAATATTATTTAATATAATAATTTATAATATTGCTAAAAAATTAAATGTATTAATAATAAAATAATTATAATATTTTGAATTCCATAATAAAAACAATTATAGTAATGCAAATTAGATTCATAATGATTGAATTAGAAAAACACAACATTGATTTTTTTTTTTTAAAAAAAACAACACAACATTGAATTTAACATATCATAAAGCTAGAAAAAAAAATACAGGAGCCTTACTATGAGTTCTTTTTCTTGACGATTTCCTCAATGACGACGCCTCCCATAGTCAATTTCATTTTGAAACCTACTCCTTTGTTGTTGTCCTCTATGACTTTTGTGGCGCGCATTTGAGGGTGGTAGGGTAATTACCGTACTGTTTTGATGATGCTCTTCATTTGTCACTGGATAGAGGTCACTTGCATAACACATTCTATAATAGTTTAAAGTAAACACTACAGGCACAAAGGAGTCTGGGATACTTCTCCTGAAATGACATGCTGCTAAGACGTGAGCGCAAGGCAAGCCATTTACTGCCCATTCACCACATGTGCATGTTATTCTGCTCCAAATTAAGTTCATGAAATCTTACGTTGGGTTGAGAAATGCACGGCCTATCCAGAGCAACCTCGTAAAGCCCAATCTGGTGATTATATGGCTTAACGGTGGCATTGTTCTTGAATTGTTCCCTCCTTGACATCTCTTTAGAAATATTCTTTGGCCAACGCAAGCCTGCTTGTTGCATTAACTCCCCAGCAGCACGCCTGTTCACAAACATAGCAACTAACTTGTTGAATGTTAGTCGAGCTATAGCAGTTACAGGCAACATTCGACAACCCTTTAATGTATTGTTGAAGGATTCTGAGCTATTGGTAGTCATAATGACAAACCTGTAACCACTGTCGTAAGACAATGCCCATGATTCTTTCGGGATTTCGGACAAATATTGGTATGCTTGGGGCCACTTATCCTCTATAGCCCACATTGCCTTTTGGTAATCCAATCTTGTTACCGCACTACCCGCTTCCCATATCAGTGATTTGAGATTCTTGTTTTTGAACTTCGTCATGACATTACTGTGGAGATGTCGTAGGCAGTATCGGCGGTGCACGCGTGACGGGTGTAGTTGTGGCAAGTCATTAAATGCAACATCAATGCCTGTGTGTCTGTCCGAAATTTTGCATATGGATTCATGGTTTGGAAACACGTGTTGCCAATAATTGCAAAAACCAAGTCCAGCTATTGCTGTTCTCAGAATCGACAATAGAGTATGCCAATGGAAAAATTTCACTGTTTCCATTCATACTCACAGCCAACAGTAAATGCCCTTTGTATTTACCATATAGATGTGTACCATCTATGGTAATTACAGGAAGGTAATAACGAAAACCATCAATAGCTGCCTTCAAAGCCCAAAACGCGTATTTGAACTCAGAGTAATTACGACCCCTTGTTGACCTTGTCGTAAGAAA